TCGATAATTTTTAATCGATATATATCGATTAACTGCTATATATCGATATATATCTGCTTAAAAATTTTGCTGATGATAGCTAATCTGCCAGAAATCAAACAATCTACACTATTCATATTCATTACAAAACTCTGCTCAAGTTGATTATCTCTTCAATAAAAGGTTTAATGAAATCTTTAAAATTGCTACCAAATGGTACCAATCTTAATATAAAATAGTTTTGTAGTTTTTTTCTTAATTTTCGTGGCATGTTGTCGATTTGTAAATAGACTTCACCTAAAGAATGATAGGTATTATGAAAAGTGCCAAAATCATCATAATATAAATCTAAATAAAACTTAAGAGTTGGTATATTGAAATTTGCTAGTGGCTTAATAGATATATGCTCAAATGGATGTTGGTAATAAAACTTTATTGAGTGAAGCTTCTACTTGCTATTATAATAGTATAATATTTTGCTAACAAAGAATTCAAATATAGATAAAGCAGGTTGGTCTTGGAGCCAAATATTTAGATAGCAGATTAATGATAATAGATTAATAATAAAGAGATTTGATTTCTCAACTAGGTATTATTTTTTGGGTGAGTATAAATTGTGTTTTGAATATAGATATTGCGGGATTTGTTCATATAAAAATAATAGTTAGATTTGTGTGATCATATTTTTATCTACAATAACGAAAGATCTGATTTGACTGACTTTGATAGTTTTATTCATTAAACAATATTTAACAAAATCTCCACAATTGAACACATCTAAAACAAATAAATAAGTAATAATAAATAAATAATAAAAATAAATAAAAAAATAAATAAAAAATAAATAAAAAATAAATAAATAAATAAATAAAATAATATTAATAGATAATAAAATAAAATAGAAATAAAAATAAATTACCTTGTATTGTAATTAAATTTGGTTGGCTGAAAAGAGGAGATTTAGTCCAGAAATCTTCTTCTTATAATTCTTCACAAGATTTTGACAATATACCCAGCCCAAAATATAAATATGAACTAATGGATAGATTCTTTAATAGACGTTGAATATGTTTAATTAAAGAAAAGTAATAAGCATAAAAATAATCTTTGGATGTTGATGACATGCTTTTAGTATTTATTGATATCATGTGACTATAAATTTTTATTAATAGTAGTTGCTCGCATTGTTTCTTAAGATACTGCAAATTAGTAGTTAAATATCTTCTTTCAAATTGTAGATTAAGTAAAATTTGTACTAGGTCATGATATGCTGTGATCATTAATAAAAAAAAATAAAATGAAATAAGTATAAATATTATATAAACAGATACTAAATCAAGTTATTTACAAATCATATACTGAGTGACCTATGTAAAAATAGCAATATTTGTAAAATTTTCAAAAGGGCTGAAAGGGCAATTGCAATTCCAATTTGCATCAGATTTTATTTTGTCAAATATTTTTGGTATGTCATCCATTAGTCTATACTTATTATTTGAATTAAAGATATTTATATTATCATAAAGTTCAATTTTATTATATATGTTGTTTATATCACCTTCTTTACGCACTTAATCAAACTCTACATTATCAGTATCATGTATACTGTTATTGACTATATGTTGATTACTATAGTTTTAATTGTTATTGTAAGATTGTTGGTTATTCTCGACTTGAATATTATAATTGGCTTGAGTATTATTATCAGCTTGAGTATCATTATCAGATTGAGTATTGTTATTAGATTGAGTATCATTATTAGCTTAAAAATTATTATCAATTTAAGCAATATCATCAGCTTGAGTATTGTCATCAATTAAAGCTTGAGTATCATTATCAGATTGAGTATTATTATCAGCTTAAACATTATTATCACTTGAGCAATATCATCAGCTTGAGAACTAACTCGAGTATTATTCATTAATTAAAGTATTAAGTTCAAATTGCTGACCATTATGGTTTAAGTTATTATTAAGTTCATATTGGTACTATTGATTGTTATAATTAATATCACTAACAAACACATGGTTCATGTTATCTGATAAAGTATAGTTATTTAGGTAAGTTTTTTTAGAATGCATATTTAACTTATAAAAATAGTATAGATTACTTTTCTTGAATCTATTTCAAGAAAATATGAGGCAATAACAAAAAATAACAAAGATATATTTCTAGTAAACTAGATCTATTAAGAAGAAAGATTTTGATGTTACTTTAAAATAATAACTATAGTTTTCAAAAGTTATACAAGAAAGATATTCAATTTTTTTTTATACAAATTGTTTTTTATAATAATATTAATAATTATTATATAATACAATAACAGAAATTTGAAGAGAAGTTTAAATTGGTTCTTAATATAAGATATCTGAGTTAAAGAGAAATTAGTTTCAATCAAAAAAAAAAATGTAAAGGTACTATCACTTAGTTCATAGGTCAGGCTCGAGGTTATGTGAATCGATCGAATTATGTATAATTAATTAAGAAATAAAGAAAATTATTTATCTTTTCTTGTGCTTAACATATATACTAGTATTCAAATAACCTATACCTCCATATTGAGACATTGGTAGTTGACAGTATGCTATAGTAATTAATATTCACAACTAGTGGAGTCTCAATAGTTATTAAAGTTTTATCTCGAATATTTACCTAATAGACTAGTAAAATGCCTTTAAATTTATTCAGTAAATTCACATTTTGATCTTGCATTACAATAACTACTTGACAATCTTGAATTGAAAACTAAAAATAAAATTATTTTCTTACAACTTATATAATTTTTTTAATATGCAAATATTGATAGTTGCAAAATTTTAGTTAATTATTTTGTATACTTTTGATAGCTATTAATTGCACAATTCAAATAAGGATAAATATACATATATTTATGACTAAGATCAATCGCATGTTTAGAATGATCATACATCTACTACTAAATATTTGACATAAATATTTGAAGTAAATTAAGCAATTTTATTGTTATAACCAATGTAATAATGACTTATATTAAGTAAATTAGTATGTGCATAAGTACAATTAAATATAATTTTTTTGTTTTAAAAAAAAAGATAGCAGAATATAAGCACGGGTAGGTAAATATATCAAATATATGTATCTATTGCAATTTTTTTTTGATTTGCCTAATTAGTCTTTTTTGTAACTTATCTTGAAAAATTTCTTGCAATATTTATCTAATAAAATTTTAATATATATTTAATTATTATATATACATGTATATATTTATTTAGAGATCATTAAAGCAAGTTTCGATTACAAGATTTTGACCAATCAAACCTATAAATTCCTGTTTACACGATAAAGCAAAAAAAGTAAAAAAATGCAAAATTATAAGAAATGAAAGTCTTAACCTATCTTGATATATTAAGAAAAAATATTGGGCAGATAATTTTATCTATAAAATCTTTCTAACTTTAGCCTCTAATCTTAATGCAATTAAATTTCATGATCAAATCTGACTTTAGTGATTTCTTATTTTTAATCATACCTTACTCATTCTTCATTAAGATCCAATTGATTTGCATACTAGAAATGACTTGCTGCTAAAAATCCAATATCAATTGTGATATTATCTAATTCTTTAATGTGGTTTAAAACCATAAAAGCATAATCAGAATTTTCTCCTTTAGACTTAGCTATCAAGTACTCTACATATATCTTGAGGCTTCTAGCAACTAATTTTACTAATACTTTTACTCCTGATTGTTGTTTTATAAAAATATCATAATCAAGTATATCAATATATTTTTTAAGTAGTTTCTCCCATACTGCACTAGCTATAAACCCTTCAATATCATGATTAGAAAGATCACTATAATTTTATAATTATAACTGTATAAATTAATATTATACAATATAAACAATTAGAGTAATTCAGAATTAGTTTATTTTGAAAGTATTTCTGTTTTAAAATTCTAATATAATAGGAATATTTTTTCAATAATAAATTATCATCATACTAAACAAATAAAATTTATAGATTACTTATCTCAAAATGAATATATCACTAATTTAATTCAAAATTAGAAACCTGAATATTAATTTTGAATTACCCTATGATGATAATATGATAATTATAATCAGTCTTTTTTTCTAACTAATTGGGTTGCTAATTTGGCAACATCTTCATTATAAATACTGCAGAAAATTTCAAATGCTTGCCTTAATTTACTTGAAATTCTATTTCAATCAGAGTATGTATTAACCATATTGGGAATGATGCTTTTAATCAGTGAAGCGCAAGTTCTTTATATTGGTATCTGAGTTTGCAAAAATAAAATTCTTGATTGCTCAGAAAGAATTTTTGCCATATTTGGTGTTTTAGTTAAAGAAAGCTATTATTTAAATTATATAATCATTATACAATATATTAATACTCAAGGCAGATAAATTGTTGCTAACCTGATTTGATATAATGGGTGGTGATAAAAATATAGAGTTTAATGCTTGTAGTATTATATCTTTACGCATCTCTAGCCATTGAACTAGATATATTTCATCTTGAAAAAAAAGATTATTTTTTGCAGATGAAGTATTCAAACTTGGTTGAATAGCTAAATATGAATTAGTATGCTTCATATTTGGTATATTTAATAGATAAGATAATTTTTCAAAGGAGTTCAAATTGTAATATTGACCAAGTGAAGAAAAAATTTCATCTTCTGAAGATTTGTTTTCTTCATAAAATGGATGGTAACTTTGATTAAAAAAATATTTGTTATAAATATTAGATTGTCAACCTTATCAGAAGATGGCTAGTAACTTTGTTTAGAAGAACATTTGTCATAAACATTAGATCATTCAACTAAAGGATCAACTTCAGGCTCAATTGAATAAATTCTTAAACTAGTGGGTCTTATATTTATATGGGATAGTACTTTATGTTGATACTTATCAGCGGCAAAAAGTGAAGATTCATTACTTTCATAATGATTTAACAATTCATTAATTTGATTTTGCTGATTTTTGATGTATGTCTGTTGATTCTGTAGTTCTATGGAAGGTGGATAGTTTGGTTGATAAGATTCTATCTGGACTTTAGATTGTAAATTATCTGCTTCATTTGTCTCTAAATCTGAATTAATATTCTCTTTAAAAAATGAAAAAAAAATCAAAATTTTGATCATATAATCAAATAGATTACTTTCTGCAAATTTACCTTTACTCTTTGCTTTATTTACTATTTGTAGTTTTTTTGATTTTGGTAAATTATCTGAGTGTTTGGGAATATCAGATTCTACTTGTGTAAGATCAACTATTTTTTGTTTTTGTCTTTCTTGTTGATTGTTTACCTATGAAGAAAAAAAGCTTAAGCAAAAATTGATAATTAGAAATAATGATTGATACTTACGGGTAGATGGCTTTTTTGGTGACATTGTTTATTCAATATTTCTAAGTGAAAAGATAAAAACAAACCTAATGATAAAGCTATTTATATTTATAGAGATAAGCTTTTATAATAAACGTAATCAGTATTATGTATTAATCAATAATTTCACAATCGTAGATATATAAATTTCTCTTTAGCATTTTCATTTTTAGTTAATATTTAATGAATTAAATTTTTTATTTACATAGAACTATGAACTTTTTATATATATTAAATATTTTACTAACGTATTTGAATGAATCTCTAAATATAGACAACAAATTTTTTTTTAACCTTCTCTAGTGGGGTGCATATGGATATTCAAATTTCAAAAATTTCTATATAATATAATCAAAAATAGTTTACTTGGCGATCTAAATAAAATGAACTTAATTTGACAAGTTTCAAAGCTCTAATTGTTATCATTTTAATGAGAAAATAGTATGTCTGCTGCTGAAACTATCCAAAATTTTGAGTAATGATAATGATAACCCTCTTACTTATCGATGATAGATATATAAAATTTACCTCAAAATAGTAAACTCAAACAAGTGAGGCAAATATAAAATGTTCAAGGTTTTAATAAGACAACAATAAGAAGTGAGCTTTATGCAGCGTGAATCTGGTTACAATCAATTTAAGAGATGCAAATCAAATAGAATCATGAGATCGAGGATAAAATGTATCAAACAGTAATATGAAATACTAAATATTTATTAAAGTTTTATAGCAATAGGGTCGAAATTGAGATACTTCATTAAAGATAATCACAAGTTTTTAGGCTAATACCTCATGTTATTTTTCTGGATTACTTTCTGTTATTTAACTATTTGCTTCTACTGTCCACCTTGTATCTTAAACTTTAAAGCTATATAAGCACTCCTCGCTCTAAATCTAATACCATATTTGGTTCACAATTTATATTTAAATTAGTGAATAAGTAGTACAAAGAAGATAAGCAAGAAACATATGGCAGTTTTCTTGTCTGAAGTTGATATTTGCCTGAAGTTAATATTCGCCTGAAGTTGTACTTGAATTGCAATTTCAGGCAGGTGCTAACTTCAAGCATGGAAGAAAAAAATTTTTGCTACCAATTATTTTGAAGCATTATAGTGGAAATATTAAAATATTTTACTATGCCGGCTATTGTAAATCTTCAGTAATTTAGTCATCAATATTGAGGTAAGAACGAAGATACATTAAATGCTTTTTACCATATAAAAAATAGCTGAGTATTTTTTTTAAAATATATATATATATATATTTTTTTTAAAAAAAACATATATATACAGTATATATATACAAATATTATACCTTCAGACGAGAAAACTGCCATATGTTTCTTGCTTATCTTCTTTGTACTACTTATTCACTAATTTAAATATAAATTGTGAACCAAATATGGTATTAGATTTAGAGCGAGGAGTGCTTATATAGCTTTAAAGTTTAAGATACAAGGTGGACAGTAGAAGCAAATAGTTAAATAACAGAAAGTAATCCAGAAAAATAACATGAGGTATTAGCCTAAAAACTTGTGATTATCTTTAATGAAGTATCTCAATTTCGACCCTATTGCTATAAAACTTTAATAAATATTTAGTATTTCATATTACTGTTTGATACATTTTATCCTCGATCTCATGATTCTATTTGATTTGCATCTCTTAAATTGATTGTAACCAGATTCACGCTGCATAAAGCTCACTTCTTATTGTTGTCTTATTAAAACCTTGAACATTTTATATTTGCCTCACTTGTTTGAGTTTACTATTTTGAGGTAAATTTTATATATCTATCATCGATAAGTAAGAGGGTTATCATTATCATTACTCAAAATTTTGGATAGTTTCAGCAGCAGACATACTATTTTCTCATTAAAATGATAACAATTAGAGCTTTGAAACTTGTCAAATTAAGTTCATTTTATTTAGATCGCCAAGTAAACTATTTTTGATTATATTATATAGAAATTTTTGAAATTTGAATATCCATATGCACCCCACTAGAGAAGGTTAAAAAAAAATTTGTTGTCTATATTTAGAGATTCATTCAAATACGTTAGTAAAATATTTAATATATATAAAAAGTTCATAGTTCTATGTAAATAAAAAATTTAATTCATTAAATATTAACTAAAAATGAAAATGCTAAAGAGAAATTTATATATCTACGATTGTGAAATTATTGATTAATACATAATACTGATTACGTTTATTATAAAAGCTTATCTCTATAAATATAAATAGCTTTATCATTAGGTTTGTTTTTATCTTTTCACTTAGAAATATTGAATAAACAATGTCACCAAAAAAGCCATCTACCCGTAAGTATCAATCATTATTTCTAATTATCAATTTTTGCTTAAGCTTTTTTTCTTCATAGGTAAACAATCAACAAGAAAGACAAAAACAAAAAATAGTTGATCTTACACAAGTAGAATCTGATATTCCCAAACACTCAGATAATTTACCAAAATCAAAAAAACTACAAATAGTAAATAAAGCAAAGAGTAAAGGTAAATTTGCAGAAAGTAATCTATTTGATTATATGATCAAAATTTTGATTTTTTTTTCATTTTTTAAAGAGAATATTAATTCAGATTTAGAGACAAATGAAGCAGATAATTTACAATCTAAAGTCCAGATAGAATCTTATCAACCAAACTATCCACCTTCCATAGAACTACAGAATCAACAGACATACATCAAAAATCAGCAAAATCAAATTAATGAATTGTTAAATCATTATGAAAGTAATGAATCTTCACTTTTTGCCGCTGATAAGTATCAACATAAAGTACTATCCCATATAAATATAAGACCCACTAGTTTAAGAATTTATTCAATTGAGCCTGAAGTTGATCCTTTAGTTGAATGATCTAATGTTTATGACAAATGTTCTTCTAAACAAAGTTACTAGCCATCTTCTGATAAGGTTGACAATCTAATATTTATAACAAATATTTTTTTAATCAAAGTTACCATCCATTTTATGAAGAAAACAAATCTTCAGAAGATGAAATTTTTTCTTCACTTGGTCAATATTACAATTTGAACTCCTTTGAAAAATTATCTTATCTATTAAATATACCAAATATGAAGCATACTAATTCATATTTAGCTATTCAACCAAGTTTGAATACTTCATCTGCAAAAAATAATCTTTTTTTTCAAGATGAAATATATCTAGTTCAATGGCTAGAGATGCGTAAAGATATAATACTACAAGCATTAAACTCTATATTTTTATCACCACCCATTATATCAAATCAGGTTAGCAACAATTTATCTGCCTTGAGTATTAATATATTGTATAATGATTATATAATTTAAATAATAGCTTTCTTTAACTAAAACACCAAATATGGCAAAAATTCTTTCTGAGCAATCAAGAATTTTATTTTTGCAAACTCAGATACCAATATAAAGAACTTGCGCTTCACTGATTAAAAGCATCATTCCCAATATGGTTAATACATACTCTGATTGAAATAGAATTTCAAGTAAATTAAGGCAAGCATTTGAAATTTTCTGCAGTATTTATAATGAAGATGTTGCCAAATTAGCAACCCAATTAGTTAGAAAAAAAGACTGATTATAATTATCATATTATCATCATAGGGTAATTCAAAATTAATATTCAGGTTTCTAATTTTGAATTAAATTAGTGATATATTCATTTTGAGATAAGTAATCTATAAATTTTATTTGTTTAGTATGATGATAATTTATTATTGAAAAAATATTCCTATTATATTAGAATTTTAAAACAGAAATACTTTCAAAATAAACTAATTCTGAATTACTCTAATTGTTTATATTGTATAATATTAATTTATACAGTTATAATTATAAAATTATAGTGATCTTTCTAATCATGATATTGAAGGGTTTATAGCTAGTGCAGTATGGGAGAAACTACTTAAAAAATATATTGATATACTTGATTATGATATTTTTATAAAACAACAATCAGGAGTAAAAGTATTAGTAAAATTAGTTGCTAGAAGCCTCAAGATATATGTAGAGTACTTGATAGCTAAGTCTAAAGGAGAAAATTCTGATTATGCTTTTATGGTTTTAAACCACATTAAAGAATTAGATAATATCACAATTGATATTGGATTTTTAGCAGCAAGTCATTTCTAGTATGCAAATCAATTGGATCTTAATGAAGAATGAGTAAGGTATGATTAAAAATAAGAAATCACTAAAGTCAGATTTGATCATGAAATTTAATTGCATTAAGATTAGAGGCTAAAGTTAGAAAGATTTTATAGATAAAATTATCTGCCCAATATTTTTTCTTAATATATCAAGATAGGTTAAGACTTTCATTTCTTATAATTTTGCATTTTTTTACTTTTTTTGCTTTATCGTGTAAACAGGAATTTATAGGTTTGATTGGTCAAAATCTTGTAATCGAAACTTGCTTTAATGATCTCTAAATAAATATATACATGTATATATAATAATTAAATATATATTAAAATTTTATTAGATAAATATTGCAAGAAATTTTTCAAGATAAGTTACAAAAAAGACTAATTAGGCAAATCAAAAAAAAATTGCAATAGATACATATATTTGATATATTTACCTACCCGTGCTTATATTCTGCTATCTTTTTTTTTAAAACAAAAAAATTATATTTAATTGTACTTATGCACATACTAATTTACTTAATATAAGTCATTATTACATTGGTTATAACAATAAAATTGCTTAATTTACTTCAAATATTTATGTCAAATATTTAGTAGTAGATGTATGATCATTCTAAACATGCGATTGATCTTAGTCATAAATATATGTATATTTATCCTTATTTGAATTGTGCAATTAATAGCTATCAAAAGTATACAAAATAATTAACTAAAATTTTGCAACTATCAATATTTGCATATTAAAAAAATTATATAAGTTGTAAGAAAATAATTTTATTTTTAGTTTTCAATTCAAGATTGTCAAGTAGTTATTGTAATGCAAGATCAAAATGTGAATTTACTGAATAAATTTAAAGGCATTTTACTAGTCTATTAGGTAAATATTCGAGATAAAACTTTAATAACTATTGAGACTCCACTAGTTGTGAATATTAATTACTATAGCATACTGTCAACTACCAATGTCTCAATATGGAGGTATAGGTTATTTGAATACTAGTATATATGTTAAGCACAAGAAAAGATAAATAATTTTCTTTATTTCTTAATTAATTATACATAATTCGATCGATTCACATAACCTCGAGCCTGACCTATGAACTAAGTGATAGTACCTTTACATTTTTTTTTTTGATTGAAACTAATTTCTCTTTAACTCAGATATCTTATATTAAGAACCAATTTAAACTTCTCTTCAAATTTCTGTTATTGTATTATATAATAATTATTAATATTATTATAAAAAACAATTTGTATAAAAAAAAATTGAATATCTTTCTTGTATAACTTTTGAAAACTATAGTTATTATTTTAAAGTAACATCAAAATCTTTCTTCTTAATAGATCTAGTTTACTAGAAATATATCTTTGTTATTTTTTGTTATTGCCTCATATTTTCTTGAAATAGATTCAAGAAAAGTAATCTATACTATTTTTATAAGTTAAATATGCATTCTAAAAAAACTTACCTAAATAACTATACTTTATCAGATAACATGAACCATGTGTTTGTTAGTGATATTAATTATAACAATCAATAGTACCAATATGAACTTAATAATAACTTAAACCATAATGGTCAGCAATTTGAACTTAATACTTTAATTAATGAATAATACTCGAGTTAGTTCTCAAGCTGATGATATTGCTCAAGTGATAATAATGTTTAAGCTGATAATAATACTCAATCTGATAATGATACTCAAGCTTTAATTGATGACAATACTCAAGCTGATGATATTGCTTAAATTGATAATAATTTTTAAGCTAATAATGATACTCAATCTAATAACAATACTCAATCTGATAATGATACTCAAGCTGATAATAATACTCAAGCCAATTATAATATTCAAGTCGAGAATAACCAACAATCTTACAATAACAATTAAAACTATAGTAATCAACATATAGTCAATAACAGTATACATGATACTGATAATGTAGAGTTTGATTAAGTGCGTAAAGAAGGTGATATAAACAACATATATAATAAAATTGAACTTTATGATAATATAAATATCTTTAATTCAAATAATAAGTATAGACTAATGGATGACATACCAAAAATATTTGACAAAATAAAATCTGATGCAAATTGGAATTGCAATTGCCCTTTCAGCCCTTTTGAAAATTTTACAAATATTGCTATTTTTACATAGGTCACTCAGTATATGATTTGTAAATAACTTGATTTAGTATCTGTTTATATAATATTTATACTTATTTCATTTTATTTTTTTTTATTAATGATCACAGCATATCATGACCTAGTACAAATTTTACTTAATCTACAATTTGAAAGAAGATATTTAACTACTAATTTGCAGTATCTTAAGAAACAATGCGAGCAACTACTATTAATAAAAATTTATAGTCACATGATATCAATAAATACTAAAAGCATGTCATCAACATCCAAAGATTATTTTTATGCTTATTACTTTTCTTTAATTAAACATATTCAACGTCTATTAAAGAATCTATCCATTAGTTCATATTTATATTTTGGGCTGGGTATATTGTCAAAATCTTGTGAAGAATTATAAGAAGAAGATTTCTGGACTAAATCTCCTCTTTTCAGCCAACCAAATTTAATTACAATACAAGGTAATTTATTTTTATTTCTATTTTATTTTATTATCTATTAATATTATTTTATTTATTTATTTATTTATTTTTTATTTATTTTTTATTTATTTTTTTATTTATTTTTATTATTTATTTATTATTACTTATTTATTTGTTTTAGATGTGTTCAATTGTGGAGATTTTGTTAAATATTGTTTAATGAATAAAACTATCAAAGTCAGTCAAATCAGATCTTTCGTTATTGTAGATAAAAATATGATCACACAAATCTAACTATTATTTTTATATGAACAAATCCCGCAATATCTATATTCAAAACACAATTTATACTCACCCAAAAAATAATACCTAGTTGAGAAATCAAATCTCTTTATTATTAATCTATTATCATTAATCTGCTATCTAAATATTTGGCTCCAAGACCAACCTGCTTTATCTATATTTGAATTCTTTGTTAGCAAAATATTATACTATTATAATAGCAAGTAGAAGCTTCACTCAATAAAGTTTTATTACCAACATCCATTTGAGCATATATCTATTAAGCCACTAGCAAATTTCAATATACCAACTCTTAAGTTTTATTTAGATTTATATTATGATGATTTTGGCACTTTTCATAATACCTATCATTCTTTAGGTGAAGTCTATTTACAAATCGACAACATGCCACGAAAATTAAGAAAAAAACTACAAAACTATTTTATATTAAGATTGGTACCATTTGGTAGCAATTTTAAAGATTTCATTAAACCTTTTATTGAAGAGATAATCAACTTGAGCAGAGTTTTGTAATGAATATGAATAGTGTAGATTGTTTGATTTCTGGCAGATTAGCTATCATCAGCAAAATTTTTAAGCAGATATATATCGATATATAGCAGTTAATCGATATATATCGATTAAAAATTATCGA